CCCCAAAACCCCAAAACCCCAAAACCCCAAAACCCCAAAACCCCTGCTTGTGTAAGAATAATTGAGAAATTATATAATTGAGCTTAATTTTATATTTCCTCTTGTGTGATAAATGGGTGAGCTAGAGCTTCTGTTGGGGACATTCTTTTTCTTGGGGATTTATCTAGCAGTCCGTAGAGGAAATCCATCAGGACATCATCCTTCTCATTGCCGTAAGAGTCATACTTTCTGATGCATGAGGGTAAGTCCTTTAGTACTATGTTTTGTTTGTTGACAATTTTTGAATTCACTCTTCCTTGAACTCCAAATATTCCAAAATTAACAACATTCTTGCCTTTCCTAGTTGTGATCTTCCCTTTGAGCCCTAACCAGAGGGGAAACCCTGTGATAATTTCAAGAAAGATAGCTCCAATGGACCAAACATCATAACTCCATGGAGTCATTTTACCAAATAAAGTCTTTGCTCCCTCAATACCTAGAGAATGCCTCTTATCAATAAACTTCAAGATCTCGGGTGAAAGATACTCAGGTGTACTCATGCTGATAGAAGTTGCCTCAGAATATATAAAGGCTGATCCAAAATCAATAAGCTTCATATCTCTAATCTTCTCACCATCAAAGTCTACTAAGATATTGTCTGGCTTCAAATCAGCATGAACTATATCAAGTGCTGACAATAGCTCAAATACTTGAAGCATTCTAGTCATAAAATCTACCATAACGTCTCTATCTGTCTTGAGAGCGTAGTAGAAATCTTGATAATTACAATGGTAGACCCTCTCACCCTTGAAGAACTCACCTTTGACCTCGAACAAGTTCTTAGTAAGCGTAATCCCTCCTAACTCATAAGTGAGCCAGAGATCATTCTTGTCTTCATTAATATCTAATAATTCTGCTATATATTTAATCCCTGGGAACTCTTTAGGGTCAATCTCTGCTTCAAAAATCCTTTGCAGTATAAGTGCCTCTACTCTCCCAGAGCTAGTATCCATCTTATTCGGGAACTGCTTAATTGCTACCTTTTTACCTGTCTCAAGGTGTTCTGCAAGCCAGACGATGGCTCATCCTCCCTTACCGAGGAGGTCTAACTTTTTATATCCAGAGGCTATCCTGTTACCATATTGGCTCTTCTCAATCTCAGTCAGACTATTTATATAAAAACAGAATTTACTTATATCCCTGTGAAGTAACTGAACTAGACACCTTCCTCAAGCTAGGCTTTGACATCTCATGCGGGCTAAAGAGTTTAATAACAGCTCTTAAGAGGGTGGAAAGTTTCAGGAGATTAGACATTAGGATATATTTACTCTAACAGCTTTTAATACAAGCTTCTTCGAGCTAGAACACTTTCAAAATCTAAGGTTTATTACACTGAAATAAAATTATCTTTGGTCACTACATTTTAGTAGTTTTCAGATTTTTGAAGAATAACAAAGAATTGGAAGCTTACATTGTACCACTATATTTACTCTCCTGCCTTGCTGCGTGATACGATGGGATTACTCTACACATCTAAGTCAGAAAAGAAACCAACGGTTCAAATTAGGTACGAATTAAGTAAACTTACGGGACTTTGGCTGGCTTTTTCACGCTCTTCTTTTTAGTATATCCTTTGGAGGATTTATACGAAGGAGTGACTCCCATTCCGAAAGAAGGAATACTCCCTTTGCCCATATTTACTCCTAATAAATTCTGAGGGTCATAGCATCCTAAATATGGTTGTTATTTTTTTTAATTTCGTTATTTTCTGAGCAAATAACCCTATCCCAACCTTTAAAAGCCATTTCCCAACTTCTCGAATCCAAAGGAGGTTGAAATATTGTCTTTATCCTACCTCTAGCCCCGGGTCTCTTAGAATGTGACCTCTTAGCTTTAGTAGATTTCTTCTTCTTAGGCTTCAGGTAATAATCGTCATAATAGAGATTAATATTTTCCTTAAATTCTTTATCTCCTTGCATCCCGTCAATGGCCATAACAGGGCCTTTGCCGAGGTCCATGATTCCATTGTCATAAAAGACTAGCTGGTTGCTCATTTTATTTGAATAATCAATTATTTAATTTCTTATGGGGTTTTGGGGTTTTGGGGTTTTGGGGTTTTGGGGTTTTGGGG